TCTTCGCTTTAAGCCCTCAGATTGTTGTTCTGGCCGCACATTTTACTTTGTCATGAAATGAGTGTAGCGACCTTATGAAAACCGCCTGAAACTTCCATCAAATATCCTGCTGACTGTAATCCGTGTCAATCTAAAGCCATAATCCATCAGTGAGATCTGTTCTTTATTTTTTATTCCTGGCCTGCATAGAAAAATTATTTCTCCGCTGCATCTTTTCACTCCCGAACATCCATTAGCTCAGTCAGCTGAGGCACAGGAATCTGAAAGTCTGTTCAAGGACAGTCACATTTGGGTTGAAATGAAGTGATTCAGTCAGATGTGTTTTTCATGAAAGTTAGTGGGTGGAATGTCACCTGGAGACATATCAGCAAAATATTTGACCCATGTAATAAAGCCTGCATCGTTGGTCGGCTGCTGTCTTAAACTGCTGAAGAGGACGTTTCTGTCGTCGTAATGCCTTAAAGTACCGCGTTTAAGATGAAGGTATATCTCTTAAAGGTGCATTAAGCAGCTCATGAGCTTTGTCAGCTTCTATCAGCCACTAGTACACAATATGAACAGAGTAGAGAGCCGTCCACAGTGAAAGAGACGTGTAAACAGGCTTCAAATAAATGGACCTGTTTTTGCTGTCGGATTGTCTGAATGTGGAAAAACAAAAATCTAATTTTAAGTTGAGAATATTTTTTTGTATTTGTGGAAAAAATAGAAATGCTCATTTTAACACTTATATGATGCAAATACAAACTGAGATTTTCAGGAGAAGAGTTTCTGCTGCAGACAGGTGCTCTTGGTTTTTCTTTAAAACTGGAGAACATGCAGATGCTTTTGATTATCAAAAAGCTGCATGAAAATATCTTGCTTTCCCAAAGTTAGCCACATTTACAGAGCAACAATGAGACGTTAAAATTGAAACGAGGCTCTGTGAGCAGACTGAACTGTTGGAGAACTGCAGCACTTTTTTCAGTGGTAATATGCATGTAAAAGATGAGAGGAAACAAAGAGCTTTCATTTTAGATTTTAGCGTTTGTGAAATCCGTATGTTTCAACAGCTCTATCTGAGTCATTTTATTAAAAATAAGCCACTGTGCCTGTGAATTAATGGACCCTTTCAGCTGCTAATCAGTATTTTCAACTGCTGGTTTAACTTCAGATTGATTAATACGAGAATTTATTATGTCACGTAAGCTGAGGAGCACCTAGAGGCTCCTTTATGGAGCTTATTGTGCAAATACATCAGAACTTGACTGAATTAGCAACATTATGCAGCTGATGTGTAACACAGGAACAGTTATAAACTAACAAAGCAGCATCTGACCAGGCTGACCATGAGCTCCTCTGCTGAAACTGTTGTCCCGTTCCTAGATGGATTAAAAGGAATAAAATCCATTTATCCCTGTCAGCACATTGCACAGTTATCTATTCACCTGTTTTGAATGATTTATGCTGGAAGCAAACACATGGACCAGACTAAGGAAATGCATACTGCTGGAAATGTCACGATTATTTCTTATGTTTCTTAAAATGACTCAATGTTACAAACCTTTTTTATTCCTGAATGTAGCCTGTTGTGAACTTATTTGCATAGCAGCAACCTGAGAACAGCAGCAGAGTTATTTTCAAATGGTTAATGAAAGTTTTCTGTTGCTTCTCCAGTACCCTTAAAAAAAACCCAATAAAAACAAGTACCTTGACCTGTTGCTATGGTGATCTGTTGCCGTTTCGATGTGCATCATGCTGTATCAGCGGTTTTTCTTCATAAATCAACCTTTCTAAAATTAATGAAACATATCAGAAGTTTCATTAAAAGTGAAGTAATTAATTAGTCTCAATCTTAAAGCATTAAGTTTTCCAAACGTCCATCGGACCTTAAGCATCCCTGGTCTTGGCTCGGCTCAGCTCTAATAAGACTGCAGCCAGAAACCTGAGCTGCTGCTGCTGCAGCGCTGCTGTCCTCTGCACCATTAGACACCACTTTCACTTCTTTGAAAGAACAGTTTTGCATTTAAAACTAAAATATTCAACGCCAACACAGATATTTGTGTGCAAATTAATATTATGTCACATTTTTCTTTCATTGTTTGAATTCTTCATCCCTGGTTGGTGTAACTGTCGACTAGCATCTCCCCTCTTGTCCTCCGAAGCCTCAGGCTTTTGCAGCTCTGTGACTTTCAACCCCATGAATGATAAAATAAGCAGATACATCAGCTACCTTCAACATCTTCCTACGGCTGAGAGAATAAAGACACTTCCCAAAATGTCAGATCTCTTTTTAAACACTCAGTTAAACATTCATTTGTGACCTTTAGAAACAGTACCGAAGAACACCAAACTACTGGCTGCTTTTCTAGAAATAATTTGTATTTGTGCAAGACTTTCCCTCTTATGTGAGTACAGATCCTGTAGCTCTACGTGTGTTTGGCCTGAGATTCCTCTGTAGTTTTTCCTTTTTTTCTTTCTCACTATGTAGATGTATATATTCCATCTGCCACATACATCTGCAGTCGAAAGAGTTTGTTGTACACGTCCTGTAGAGAACTTCAGAAGAAGCAGCTGGAATAAAAAAAAGAAGCTGTGAAGCTTTGCACTTAACAACATGTTGAAGAATCAAAGGACACATGCTGAGTTGTGTTTCTTTGGTGTTCGCCGTAGTGAGATCCACACGGAAAACCATCAGAGGACACGTCTTTCTGTCCTGATCTACATCAAGGGTACCTTTGAAGGCCCTGACTCGCATATGGTTCGGGGTTTCATCAACGCTGGTGTCATCATTAAAAAAAAACTCCCAAAACTTATTAAAATGTTAAAATTCAATAATCAGCTCTACTATTTACAACACACAGGTCATGAACAGAAATGCTGTAAATCTGTCACCATAAGTAATTAATTAGTTGCTTGATAAGTTGAAATAATTTGATCATATCCATTCTGATTATTTTTTGAAGGGCAAATTTGCTTACAGAGATTTCAGAATCTCTGTAAGATGATGAAAGATTTCATTTTATTTATGGTTTTGGTAGTGTGCAGGCTTTATTGCCTTTTTATTTGTTGTTTTGGACATTAGAAATGTCTTCCAGTTGTGATATCGAGTTCTTTTCACAAAAGGAAAATGTTTGGTCTTTTAGAGGGAGAATTAGCATTTTTTTCCCCTATCATTTGTATGCTATTTGAAAATGGACTCAAAACAACAACACCTATTTCACAATAATTTCTGGGTTAATTTATTGCCCAGTAAAATTTGTAATCATGACAGGCCTAGTTCACCAGAGAAACACAAAACTCAACTCAGCTACGTACTTCGACATATTTTCACCCAAATAAGAGAAAAAAGTAGCTATCCAGGGAATTATTCAAGTAAAAAATTAATTGATTTAAATTTTACTGAGTAACTGTTTAAAAACCCTATAATATTTAAAAATGACATAATCAAACTAATAACTGAAAATTAAAGTATTTGAATGGCTAAATAAGTACCAGTAAATAACATAAATACAAAATTCAAGTAAGAGAAATAATTTTCAATTTTTCAAGAAAAAACTTAGGAAAATCATTCTTACTGTAGGCAATATACATATGAACTCTACCAGGTTTTTTTTAGATGGAAACATTTTAAAATACTCCAAATAATTAATTGAGCATACTGTACTGTTTGATCATTACAAAGAATTCAGTTATGTACCTCATTGCTGTTGTGAAATGCATTTATTGACAAAGTTTTGATTTGGTCTGACTTTTTTTTTTCTTTGTAACTGCAAGAAAAACTTTGATGCTCTTACCTGGAGCCTGTATTGTCTGTAGTGGTGTTACCTGTAAGTTAGGAAACACAACTGAACTTCTCTTCTCACTTAGTAAACGTCTGAGAGGAACTGAGATGATTTTGACCGGTTTGCAAAAGGTTTGGACAGTAAAATTTAGCCCCTGAGAGGAAATATTCACATTGGTGTTGAAGTCCAAGTTGCCAAAAAGTAAGTCAGACGCCTGCACTGGTTTCACCTGGACTCACCTGCAGAGAGGTGAGTCCAGATCATATTGCTGAAGTTTTAAAGGGTTTTATTGCTTTAAAAGAGGGAAAGTACCAGATAGATAAATGGTTTGAACATATTTCATGTCTTCTGTCTTCATAACTGAAGCTGTTTCTTTCTTCTTCTTTTTTTAAAGAAACTATAATATTTGAATCCAGAGGAATAACATTTGGCTAACAATGACAGAGACTAAACCGGTGAAAGTACAAGCTCACACTTTTCTTCGAGGTTGGACTTGCACAAGCTGACCATCATCTATCACAGTTTCTTATCTTGCAGCTCTGTCAACAGGCTGATGAAACAGCTCTCAGATCCAGGTACTATCACTATTTGGAGGAGCCTTTTCTTCAACATTAATAAGACACTTTCAATGTGAAAAGGGAGAAATACCAAAGCAGCAGAGGCAGAGATGAAGTGGTTAACTTCATCCAATAACACCCAGCACGTCCACAGGTCAGCGTGTCCTTGGAAAAAAAAAATAAAAATATATATATATATATACATATATATATCTTCATGTGTAATTTCTGAGAAAAAGTCTTATCTATAGATTGCTTAAAAGATTTATGCAGCTCTCTGCTATATTACTTAGTAATAACATAAGATATATTTTGACACATGATAGAAATAGAGCTTTCTATCATTTTATTGATATATGAATAAAAACTGTTTTACTGTAAAAAGAATTAAATGATTTATTTTTGACCTCTTTATGTGGAATATTTTCCTAGCTAACAAACCACCAGTTGGTTCTTTTTAGACTCAAACCTTAGTTCTAAACTTGACTAAAAGTGAAATTTGATGCACAATATAAATTCCAAACTACACTTCAAAAACTGAAACAAACCTTGTTCCAGCTTATATGTATATATGTAATTTTTCTACCTCAGCAAACATCTGAGAGAAACTGAGATGATTTTGACCAGTTTGCAAAAAGTTTTGAAAGATTTTTCATTAAAAAAAGTGACTTTTTATAAAAAATTACGGTTCCATTGAAGAAATTTATTTTCAGAATTTCAATTTGCTAAATTTTATGGTTAATAGTCAGCAGTTATTGCTAGGCCCTGGCTTTTTTCCGGGATGTTACCTTGGATCAAATCCAAAATATGAGCATAAAATATCAGAATGTAAAGATCTGTTGATCATCTGTCAAAAATCAGTGCCTGTATCAGGAACAATCAGGGTTTAAATAGAACTGTTATGTGGCAATAGCAGGAAGCTCTCTGTAACATGGTGGACACACAGCTTTGATCCCGTTTGAGTCTGCAGAAAGGAGAAGACAGCATTTCACTGAACATATGGAAAGTGATCCGCTATGAAAGAGCTTCTTAAGGCGAAGAAATGGAGTCTTCTTAAAAGGCCGAGACTGTCACCTCATCTCAACCCGACTGAGTGTGCTGTTCACTTACCGGGATCAAAGTGGAGGCTGAGAGGCCAGCAAACATGCAGTGAATGTTGGTAGCTGCAGAGCCCGCCTGTTGAGAGAGAATGGCTGCAAGACGTCAGCTGCTGATTGAAGTCTGAAGTGGAGAAATTTCAGTCTAATTATGGAAGTTAAGTCTCAATCCTGGAAATATAAAAATAGCAAATCTGTTCATGTTCCACACTCAGAGGCCACAGTCTCTGCAAATTAGTGGCGACGTATTATTTAATCCATTGATTTAAAAATAAAAAGTCCAAAATCTTTAATGAGGGTTTGAGTAAAATAATAAAATCCACTAAGGTTCTGCTACAAGAAAGCCAACAGAGTTCTTAAAATGAAACAGACTAACCCTATTTAATGCATGAGTGGGCTCTGGCAATTTCATTGTAATCTGCCTAAAGGAAAGCTCATCAGATGCCCAGAATTGTTCTGTGTCCTTGAGTGGGGAGCAGGACTTCACGGTGGACAGGTGATATTTCTGGTCCACTCAGCAGATGTTGGCAGGAGAGAAAATGTGAATGGATTTCTGAAATGAAGACAATTCCTCTCAGCAGCAGCAAAATTACCACACCAAAAGTTAACTCATTGAAAGAAAGTGAAGAAACTTTTATGAAGCTTTTGTCCATCATAACCTGAGGCGGGAAATGCATCTATTGTTTATAAAGCATTAGTGCTATTAAAATACTATTTATCTGCTTAGAGACAAGAACTTTACAGTAGGTAGATCTTACAAAAGTAAAAAGCAAATATTTACTGGATTTTCTGGACTATAAGTTAGTTTTTTTCATAGTTTGGCCAGGGGTGCGACTTATGTGTGAAATTATTTACACATTATTATATCAAATCGCATGTTACTTCCACACTAAACCGCAAGAGGGCGCTCTAGGCCTGTGTTGATAATGTGTGTGGTAGAAGCTAGCTTCGGAGTTAGCGGAATTGTTTACAAGCAACACCGAAGATGAAGATGTCATTCGATGTAGTGATTTGGAGAGACACGGATGGCTTGGTAAACTTGTTAGCATGTTACTTATGCTATAGTTATCTGAATAACTCTTAATATGTTATGTTAACATACCAGGCACATTCTCAGTTCATTGTTTGTCATGTAGCGTTAGCATACTGTGCAATTATTCAGCCTGTTGTTGCCTCTGTTCTATTTTTATTTTAAATTGCCTTTCAAGATGACGTGTCTGATCTTGGTGTTGGATTTTATCAAATAAATTTCCCTCCAAAATGCGACTTATACTCCGGTGTAACTTATAGTCTGGAAAATACGGTACTTTGTTTCAATTCGTGACCAGAAAACACGCTCGTTTCTTAGCAACAACTTAACAACAAATATTATTATTGTGGGGAAAACATAGGAATTATTCTGTTCTTCTCAAATTTTTCAACAATAATTGTTTATAAAACATCAGTGCTATTAAAATACTACTTATCTGCTTAAACACAAAAACCTTACAGTAGGTAAATTTTCCAAAAGTTAAAATCAGATATTTACTTTACCATGAAAGGCACTCATCCCTTAGCAACAGCTTAACAACAAATATTGTTATTGTTGAAAAAACGTAGGAATTATTGCACTCTTTTGAATATTTTATGAATCAGAAATTAGAGTAACTCTATCAAATGTGAATTATGAGAGTAACATGTTTAAAATATAGGCGGGTTGAGTTTCAAATGTTTATTTGAACACATACCGGTAGTTACTTTACAGAAACAAATTACAATGGAAGCAATTTTACTAAGTTTAATATTTTTTTCTTTCTTTACCTTTTCGCTCTAAAAGTACACACATTTTTAGAGTTGTGTACTGTAATTTATTATTATTATTTATCTGTAACCAGTAATGCATGAATACATCTTCCTGTGAAGAAAATCGTTCTTGATCCTTTCTGAATGGTGATCAGCCAGTCCAGAACTGACAAACTAATGCATGCAAAATGAAACTTCAGGCATCGTCATCATTTTAGTCTCACAAAGATCAGATGAATGTTACAGTTATGCTTTGACTCATTAACGATTAAAATTGTTTGGATTAAATAAACTCATTACACTCTCACTTTTAAATTTAATGGTCAATGTTTGTTTAATTTATTTGCGAGATTAAAACAAAGTTTAAATGAACAATTTTCTTATGTAACTACCTTAGAAGAACAGATAACAGAAGTTTGGAGTAACAGCATGTTGTTTTTATTGTAATATTGAGGTTAATGTTGCAACACACACGCTATGAAAAGAAAAAGCGTCCGAAAGGTATTTGCAAAGTGCTAGACTTTTTCAAATTGTTGACATTTGTTTTGCTACAAATAGTGCCTTTTTGCACTGACACTGTTTACCCCCATTTAAATGGGGCATTATGCATGCATTTAGGGAGAAATGCAGATTATATTTCCATGAATTACAGTCAGAGCAAATGGATTTAGACCCTGAAAGACCAGAGTTGTTTGCATTATAGAGGTTGCAAAGAAGAGAAAATATCTGCTTAGAGATCGAGGTAATTATGGCAAAGAAAAAAGTGAACTGCCTTAGCAAGTGTTGCTGGCCTTATGAAAAATGTATCAACGCCACACTATAAAAACTTTATTTTAATGGAGAATAGAATGTAGCAGAAATATTCTTTAATTTTGGGGAAAATTCAGGTGTACCACTAAAATACTACAATACAAATAGAACTGTCATGTTATTAAAAACAGGACACTTGGATTAAAAAGAATATGTCACAACAAAACAGCAGCAATGCTGCTAATTTAAAGAAAGACCTCCACCAAACATCTGTTTACTTGTTCAACTTTTTGGAAAAAGTAAAAGTGTTTTGAAATTTGTTGTAGATGAATGCTTTTTGAAATAACTATGATAATGTAACATTATATGGTTGTGGTTGGAAACATTGTGAGTCAGAAGCATTATTACGTGGTGCTCAGAGACCGACTGGAAAAGCCAGGGCATTAGAACGATAACGCATGTTTTCTCTGCTGAGGCAAGTTGTTAAAGTGTGCCATCAATCCACATAATGCAAGGCGCCCTGTCTGGAACACTGTAATCTTTTTAACGTTTGGGATAGGATTTAACAAGGAAGCATGCAGACGGATAAAGTCCAGGAACATATTGTGATAATGCAACTCATAATATAATAGATGTTTAAATCTTGAATATATCTCATTGACATCAATGCAAACAAGAAGCAGATGACTTAACAAACTGATGTAAAAGCAGCTTATGGGTCCGTATATCCATAACAGAGCTGGAGCAGCTTGTTTTTAATATGATTCCAGATAAAGCACAACAATGCCAATGGCTTTGTTATCTGAACGGGACACTCCAAGGGTTTTAGGTCAAGCAAATGAATTTGAGGCCCAGAATGTGTGTATCTGCAGCTTTTCTCTGGTCCATTTTCTTTATTAAGTGAGCCACCAGTGTGCGTGTGTGTGATGTTTGGGATTGTTGGACATCAGAAACCATCAATATCTGGGCGTCCTTCATTAGAAACACTCAAGTTTCTTTTATCTTAAACCAAAGACATGATTGATCCAAATAGGTGATTTGAACAAAGTATTTTCTCTTGAGTTATGAAAAAAATATCCTTCAGCAATTTTCTGCTCTCCTGATAATTTCCAGATTAGGAATCAGGCATATTCAACTTCAGTCTAGTGTGCACTGAAGGTTCCAGTTCATGCTAACTCATCTAGATAACAAAGTTTCTGACTCACGTCTAATCCACTTTTTAATTTTAGGAGAAAGGCAGAGTTCAATCAGATCTCACAGCATGACTCAGCTACACTGACTCTTATGCTGGCACAATTAATTTGCCTTAAGAGTATACTTAATTGGCTTTAAGAGCTGCACTAATTTTACGTTAAGTGTAACTAAATTATAGGCGACATTTTTAAATGATCTTTTTCTTAAATGTGTAAAAGACTCATATTACGAAGTTGGGGAGAGGATGCTGTATAAAGAATTATTATTCACCTCTCTGAAACATTAAGAAGCCCTTTGGCAACAAATCCCACAGGCTGCGTGAAGTGAGCAAAAAACCTTAGACTTTGTTCATATCTATAAATGAATGGCTACTTTAATAAAGAAGTGTTGAAATACAGCAAAATAACAGTTTTGATGATGTTCACATGATGTTGTAAAAATTGTGTAAAACATTTGCAGTTCCTAACATAAATAAATTCAGTTTATATATTATTGATGAAGAAATCACTGTAATTATACTTCCAAACAGAACATGGATTTAAATTATACCACAATCATTTTCATTGTTCCACCTTTACCTTTATTTTGTAGTTTTTATGTCAAAGTGCTGCAGTACGGTTTCTTTTGCTTTTTGGATTTGGGCAGCTATCTTTTTCTGAAAATCTATTTTTTATATCTGGTGATGAGGTTCTTCAATTTTTCTATCCGTTGGTTCGTCTGTGGGTCTATTCGTCCGTCCATTCATCCATCCCTTGGTCAATCTGACCATTGGTCGATTCATCCTGCATCCAGATACTTGTCATCTGTTCATTTCTGTGTCTTTGCATTTCTTTTCCAGGGACTGTATTCTAAGTCTAACTACAGCAAAAATGGAGAATGTCACAAATTGTAAACTTTAGTATATGCAGTTGAAAAACTGAGAACTCCTGAGTTTAGAATTTTGGAAAATATACAATTTTGTCATTAAAACTACATAGAAATCCTTCAGTGAATCTTAAGCCATCCCTCTTTCTGTGAGCCATCGTTGCTTAGTTGTAGGTCAGACAATGAGCTTGCAGAGGGAACTGCGTTTGAGGGATTGTGTAATCTGTTGGGCCTCACCGTTGGGACAGTGTGACACTCCCTGATTGATGGGTGTTGCTCTCTTCGTCCTTGTCATCATCACAGTGAGGCCGTCAGAATGACTGTCCTTCCTGAAGGCTGGTAAACTCTGAGAGCCGAATAAGCTGACGTATTCGGAAGCATGAAGAGTTGCAGATGCTTCACAAACTATCTGTAAACATCTAGGTGGAGAAAGCTTTTCACCTAACAACATTAGAGATGTATATTGTTGCAGATATAAACAATAACTCTGGCACCATTTTTGAATATTTGGTTATCTGCTTATATAATTTTTTGCTTCTCCTCGATAGAAACAAGCTGAGGTTGCAGGTTTGCATATGCTATGACATTTAGACAACTCACTGGAAAAGGTCCTGAAAATATTTTAAAAATATTTATGAACTGTATTGCTTACCTCAAGACACCATTGACATTTAAAGTATTGCTTCTCATGTCTTGACATATAGAAGGATCAACGACCGACACTTAACTTTTTAATATCTAAAGGCCAGCAATAAAAGAACAGTCGTCCATGATTCAGTAACCACCCATATCTAGTTCTATGAATATTCATCTTTATACCTGCAGGGCCAAAACCTTTTCAAGCCTGAATTTCAAACCAATTAATTATCTTTTTTTGAAACAGTTTGTTCAATGAGAATATCAATAAATATCAATAAAATTGAAAATATGATCAAAAGCAGTAACCATATGAAGTTTAGTGATACAAATCCGTTTTTTTTTATGTGACTGGCGTCCTAAAGAAGTGCATTAAAATGGGATTGTTTTTGTGTTGATGGGCAGTCTCAACCACACAGTTACCTAAAAACAATTGTAAAGTCTAAAGTTTATTATCACGTTTATTGTTATCACAACAGCATTATAAAATATCAAAAAACTTTAAGTTTAAATATTGTCTCATCTAGAGAAAGACACAAATGTTGTTTTGATTTAAATTAGTTCAATTATAAATCGCCAATTCATGACAGATTTTGCTTCCTCTGCCATGAGTTTTGGCCTTACTGTTTGAGCTGTACCCTTGCTGAAACTTCCCTGCTCACCAAGCCATGTGAACCTTAGCGAAACCATATCCTGCCACTACACTCAGTCATACACACCAAGCACCCAGATATGCTGCTACCAAGACAATAAATCAACAAGACCTCCCGTTGGGAAGTACTTTCCTCTGAACATTCAGGGAAATTCTACATGCTGTCTGCCCACAAAAGACATCTCAACACCCCTGCAAAGCCCATCCACGTCCTCACTGATTTTTAACACTGTATTTTGGTCCTAATCCAGTGTAAACCACTGAAAATAAATGGATTTCTACTTGTCAAATCCCTTGCCTCTCTTGGGCTGTTGTTTACCATTTTACAGCACACTCAGGAAGTAATCTAGCATCAATCCCAAGCATCACCTTGAAGAGGCCCACTCAATCAATACTTGATAATACTTGAGTTTGACTGGCTGTTCTCATATTTTCAGCCTATTGCCTGGCAGTATGCCACAGGATGTGAGGAGACAGCATTAATACACCAGAGTGGTGTGATAAGGCATTACGACAGTCCCCACCAACCGCTGCATTTCCAACCAGAGCTGATGAAGAGAGATTGCCGATGCTCTGAAACCTTGAAAAAGATGACTTGATATCAGCTCTCCTCATGGCTGATGCGTAATGATCCTGCGTGACTGAAACACACACTTGTACACAAAACGCTGATAGTCGTTCTCT